TCTGTTTTTTCCCATGCTGTTCCTGTTGTTACTGTCTTTATTGTTGGTGTTGTTGTCATGCTGAAGCAGCTCTGATGCGACTATGTTATTAATTAGAGCAATCTGTTCTAGGACAAGAACCCCGTCTAGCTTAGTTCCTGTAGCAAGGCACTAATTGAACCTTTGGGGAGAGTCTCTGCCCCCCCGACCTTCTGGCCTGGTGACAGTGACGTATTCTGGAGCATCCCTCTCCTCCTTCTCATGGAAATATAGTGCACAGCCATGTTTCAGGTGTTGGTTTGCTTGTGTGGGGCTTCTTTCCTCCAGTTATGAATAACAAGTTTGGATAAAATGAGAATAGTGGAGATCTAGCATATGTAGCGTAGTCTTATAGTCTTATATGTCCTTTATTTAACCCTTTAAAGCCTGATCCAAGAATAAAACAAAACAGAAAATAACATTTTTTTTTGTTTGAATTCCTTATTTGGCCTTTTAACAAAATATGTAAAAAGAAAAAACAGAAATACATTTTTTATATTAATAATTTATTACTATGCGATAAGTCAGGATTATTTTTTGTGTATCTTCTGCCCCCTGTTATCAGGTGTATCTGATTGTGTACAATAGGATTTTGAGCAAAGTTTTTACCATTAAATGATGCAAAAGGTCTCAGACACAAAACATTTCAGAAACCGTATGAATCAGATATGACACATTTGGCATTACAGGGTTAAAGAAATATCTGTTTACGTTTCGTGTTCATTTTAAATAGTGATAAAGATAAAAGAGGTATTTTGTATCACAGATTTGCATAACGGAAAATACATATTCATAGATGGGCCAGAAAATAATTAAGTCAAGTTGTAAAGTTAATATTATTTTTGCAGAAAAACTAATGCAAAGTACACAGATGTGATCGGTTTTAGGTTTTATTGGCTCAGATTTTTTTTTCATGGCTTTTATGGGCAGCAGAGTGAGAACCAGAACTATTTTTTAACCAACAAAGTTGGGTCGTCAAAAGTATCGATACTCAAAAAAGTATTACATTTTGGGGTCTTTGTTTTTATACTTGTGGTATAAAAAAATAGTATGTAGTATCTAGTATTTTCCTGAGTATCTGTATCCAGTTTAACATTTTAGTATCGTGACAACCCTACAACAAAGTTAGGTTCCTGGTGCTCACTTTATTGTGTGTGTATGTCTCTGTGCGTATGTGTGTATGTGTATATGTGTGTGTGTGTAGGTGTGTGTGTGTGTGTGTGCGTGTGTGTGTGTATGTGTGTGTATTTGTGTGCGTATGTGTGTGTGTGTGTGCGTGTATGTGTATGTGTGTGTGTGTTGGTGTGTGTATGTGTGTGTGTGCGTCTGTGTATGTATGTCCTTTTTGCTCCATCAGGGTGAGAACCAGAACTAGTTTTTAACCAACAAAGT